TGCCCTCTGGTTCTCTGGCTCACAGGCTCATGACTTCCTTCCTTCCTTCCTCTCCCGGACTCTTTCCCTTTTGGCAGTTACATTTCTGCAGAGTTCAGCCCTCCTCCCAACCCGGGAGCTTTTAGACAGCCCTGGACTCTGGAGATACAGGAATTACAGGGATAATGAAGATTAGCCGATTCGCCCTACCCTTCTTTTTTTTTTCTTGACTTTTAAAAAATTGAGCATGATTTACATAAAGTGCACAAATCTTAGAGTACAGCTCAAATAATCCAGCTCAATTAATGAGTTAATTTTGACATGTGCAGACTGTTATGTTACTATTATTTAATCAAAACATGGAACATTTCTAGCACCCAGATTTGCTCATACTTTTTCCCAGTTGAACTCTCCTCCTCCCTCTCCCTCTCCACTCCACCTTACCCCACACTGGTAATTCCTATTTCTCTTCTAACACTATAGATCATGCTTGCCTGTTCTTGAACTTCTGATAAATGGAATGATACAGTGTGTGCTTTTTGTCTGGCTACTTTCATTCAACATCATGGTTTTGAGATTCATCCATGTTGTATTTGGAACAATTCGTCCATTGTTCTCTTTGATCGCAGAATATGCTATCATTTATTTATCTATTTTTCAAGGACATTTGGACTGAGTCCAGTTTTGGTTACTGTATTAGTTTGTTAGAGTTGCCATAACAAAGTACCACAGACAGGGTTGTTTAAACAATAGAAATTTACTCTCTCACAATTCTGGAGGCTAGAAGTCCAAGATCAAGGTGTCAGCAGAGCTGGCTTCTTTTTTTTGAGTGGGAGAAGAACCTTTTTAAATTTTTTTATTGAAGAATAGTTGACATACAATGTTATATTAGTTTCAGCTGATTCCACAATTCTATACATTACATAATGCTCACCATGATGAGTGTAATTACCATCTGTCACCAAAATTATCACAATATTATTAGTTATATTTTCTATGCTGTACTGTTCAACCTCTTGTCTTACTTATTTTATAGCTGGAAGTTTGTACCTCTTAATCCTCTTCATCTGTTTTGCCTGTATTCCCTATGCTGTACTTTTTATCCCTGTGACTTATTTGTTTTATAACTGGAAGTTTGTACCTCTTAAATCCCTTCACCTATTTCATCCACCCCCTTTCCTCTGGCAACCAATGGATTGTTCCTGTATTTGTGTTCTATGTATTTATGGTTTTGTTTGCTTGTTTTGTTTTTTAGGTTCCACATATAAGTGAAATCATACGGTATTTGTCTTTTTTTGCCTGGCTTATTTCACTTAACATAATACTCTCTGGGTCCATTCATGTTGTTACAAATGGCAAGATCTCATTTTTTTTTAAGATTTTACTTATTTATTAGAGAGAGAGAGAGAGAGAGAAAAAGCACAAGCAGCGGGAGTGGCAGGCAGAGGGAGAAGCAGGCTCCTCACTGAGCAAGGAGCCTGATGCGGGACTCGATCCCAGGACCCTGGGATCATGACCTGAGCTGAAGGCAGACGCTTAACCAACTGAGCCACCCAGGCATACCAAGATCTCATTTTTTCCTTAAGATTTTATTTATTTATTTGAGAGAGAGAGAGAAAGTGAGTGAGACAGAGCTCGAGCAGGGGTGGGGGGAAGGGCAGAGGGAGAGGAAGAGGGAGAAGCAGACTCCCCACTGAGCAGGGAGCCCTATGCGGGGCTCTATCCCAGGACCCCAGGATCATGACCTGAGTCAAAGGCAGATGCTTAACCGACCAAGACACCCATGCGCCCCAAGATCTCATTCTTTTTTTTATGGCAGAGTAATATTCCATTGTATATTGTTATAAATAATGCTGCACTAAACAAAGGGGCACATATATCTTCTACAATTAGTGTTTTCATTTTCTTTGGGTAAATACCCAGCAACAGAATTACTGGATTGTATGGTAGTTCCATTTTAATTTTTTAAGGCCCCTTCATACTGTTCCACAGTGGCTGCCCCAATTTACATTCCCACCAATAGAGCACAAGGGTTCCCTTTCCTCCACAAGGTTGGTTTCTCCTGAGGACTTCTCTTCTTGGTTTGTAGTTGGCTGTCTGTCTCTGTGCCTTCACATAGTCTTCCCTTCTGTGTGTATGTTCTACTGTCCCTTTTTTATAAGGACACCAGTCATACTGGATAAGGCCCACCCAATGGATCCATTTAACCTTAATTACTTCTTTAAAGGCCCTTTCTCCAAATAGTCACATTCCAAGGTACTGGGGGTTAAGATTTCAATATATGAACTTTGGGGGACACAACCCACAATAGCTACTGTGAATATAACTGCTATGAACATTTTGGTACATATTTTGTACTGTTGCCCAAAGTAGTTGAGCCAGTTTTCACTCCTATCAGCAATGTATGAGAGTACGGTTGTTCTAACATCCTCACCAGCCCCTTCATTGTATAGATGAGAAACAGAGACCCACAGAGCTGAAAGGCCCACTTTCCCATATGCAGATCATGAGCTTGAGGTTGCAGAGCAGAGCATGCAGAGGAAGCCCTGTTCCCAACCTGCTTCAGGATTTTTTGAAAGTCCCCAACGTATCACCTCATTCAATCATTCAGTCACTCGTCAAGAACTCAGAGAAACACCAGAGGCTCAGGCCCTGTGCTAGGCTCTGAAGGTAGGTGGCAAACACAAGAGGTGTGAAACTTACATCTCAGTCGCAGCAATAGACAATGCAACTGAGTGAGTACTTGCGGATGGTGGTAAGTGCTGGGCAAGGGATGAACGGAACCTGAGCTAGAGAGTGAAGGGCTTAGGAGTGGGGAGGGAAAAATCTCCTGGAGATGGGAGGCTTCAAGGGCCTCTCTGAGGGGAGGGCCATGAAGGATCTGAAGGAGCCTAGCAGACCAAGGGCCAGGGAAAATGTTGAGGCAGAGGGCTGTAGGAAGAGTATCAGCCTGGAAGCAGGAACAGCTCCCAGGGGTGGGAGATGGGCAGGAGACTGATGGTCTGCGTAGCTGGAGCCAAGTGCACAGGGGTAGGGGCGAGGCAGGAGATGAGCTCTAGAGGCCTGGGCCCAGACAATGCAGGGCTTACAGGTCATGAGGAGGAGTTTGAATTTCATTCTAAGGGCAATGGGAAGCCACTGGAGAGTTTCAGGCAAGTGACAGGCAAGCTCCAACTAACATTAACAAATGCATTATAGGAGGTATGAGAAGGAAGAGGCAGGAAATGCATCAGGAGATTTTACCCTTGCTTAGGTGAGACATGTTAGCGACTTAGACTCAGGAGGCGGCAGAAGAGATAGACTGTGGAGGTAGAAATGACGGGACATGGTGATGGATTGGATAGGCCTGTTAAGAAATGATGGCGAGTCAAGGATGACTTCTAAGTTTTGAGCTTTGAACCTCTAGACAGTAAGCAAAGATCTTTCACCTATAACCTACTAAGCCCAGTCTGTGCACTTCCTCGTCCATCTCACTACGGTATATCTTGAACCTCAGGATGTAGTAGATGTTCAATGAACATTTTTGAATGAATAACTGCATGCAAGAATGTTTTAGCACATGGAATGAGTTCAATAGAGGTTTTTTTTTTTTTAAGATTTTATTTATTTATTTATTTATTTGACAGAGAGAGAAAGAGCCCAAACAGGGGAAGAGGCAGGCAGAGGGAGAAGCAGACTCCCCGCTGAGCAAGGAGCCCAATGCAGGACTGATCCCAGGACCCTGGGATGATGACCTGAGTCAAAGGCAGATGCATGGGGCGCCTGGGTGGCTCAGTCGTTAAGCGTCTGCCTTCAGCTCAGGTCATGATCCCGGGGTCCTGGGATCGAGCCCCACATCGGGCTCCCTACTCCGCGGGAAGCCTGCTTCTCCCTCTCCCGCTCCCCTGCTTGTGTTCCCTCTGTTGATGTCTCTCTCTGTCAAATAAATAAATAAAATCTTTAAAAAAAAAAAAAGGCAGATGCTTAACCGACTGAGCCATCCAGACGTCCCAATAGAGTTTTGCGGGGGGTTTTTTGAATTTTTTATTGAGGTAAAATTCACATAACATAAAAGTAACCGTTTTTAAATGGACAATTCAGTGGCGTTTAGTACATTCGCAATCTTGTCCAACCATTACCTCTTTCCAAAATATTTTTATCACCCTCAAAGGAGATCCTGTACCCAGTGAGCATTCACTTCACAAACCCTCCTCCCCACCAGCCCTAGGCAATCTTTAATCTGCTTTCTGTCCCTATGGATTTACCTATTTCTGGATATTTCATATAAATGTAATCATACAATATGCAATCTTTTGTGTCTGGCTTCTTTCTTAGCATAATATTGCAATAAATAATATATTCTAGGTTCATCCACATTATAGCCCATATCAGTACTTGCTTTTTATGCCTGAGTAATATACCACTGTATGGATGTACCATATTTTGCTAACCACTTGAGCTGGCAAACTCTTGGCTATTGTGAATAATGGTGCTAGGAACATTTGTGTACAAACATTTGTTTGAATACCTATTTCCAATTCTTTTACGTATATGCTTAGAAGTGGAATTTTTAGGTCATATGGTAATCCATGTTTAACTTTTTGAGGAACTGCCAAACTCTTTTCCAGTAGCTCAATAAAGTATTTCTGAATGAACAAGACAGGTTAGGGGTGAGCTTTTCCTACCCTCCACAAGGAGCGCTGGATTCTCCCTTTTGCAAACCGTTGTGATTTGGGTCAAATTACTTGAATTCTCTGGGCTGCCTCTTCATCATCAAAGTGGGGAAAATGAAACTGACTTTTGTGAGTTGAATGAGGTCTTGTTTCTGAAACTTCAGGCACAGCCTTAACCCTGCAAATCAATTGCCTTCCCTTACTGGCTGACCTTGCCATTTCGGGCTCCACTCACGCGCCTCTGTGCCCTTAGGGCCAAGTCCACGCTAGAGGCCCCCAGCCCAGCCTTGCAGCAAACTACGACTCCCAGCAAGCACCTCTTCCCGGCCGCCTCTCCCAGCCTGGTGCGCATGCTTTGGCAGACGTGGCACCAGGAACTCGGAGGCGGGGAGAGGCTGGGAAGTGGCCGTGGCTTGTTGGACCTGACGGAGCTGCGGGCGCGGGAGCCTGAGTGGAGAGCGGAGCCCGCCGTAAGCAGCAGCGGCAGGGATGGCGCGGGTCGCGCGGGCATGGCTGCTGCTGCTGGCGATCTCGGTGAGGCTGCGGAGCTGGGGTCCGGGCCGGGGCGGCATGTGCGCCCCGCGTTGGGGTCCGCGCTCCGTGCTCCCGGCCCTCGCGGGACGTGCAGGGAGAAGCCTCCAGGTCCCGGGGTGGGGGCGTGCGGGGCAGGCGGGGACCCGGTGGCTGTGGGGGAGGCAGCGGGGCGGCCCCTGTGCCCTCCTGGCGGAGCGCTCCAGCGCGCAGGGGTTGGAGGGAGCCGCGCTGCATGCTTACGCCGCGGGCACAACTTTGCGGGGGTACAAGTCAGGGGGCAGCCGCCGCCTAGCGCGGGACAACCGCGGATTGGGGGGTGCGCCGCGCCCAGACTCTGGGCCCTGCACCTGTGTGAGTGCGGGGTGGCATGGGGGTGCTTTATACCTGCACTGCCGGAAACCTTGCTTTAAGGCCACCTTGTTCTTGGTTTCCACCCTGAGCAGCCGGGCAACTGCCGGTCACCGCCTGGGCCCCCGCCTGCAGGCACCCTGGGCGGGCTGGGTGGGGTCTGCGGAGGAGGTCTGCTCCTACACCCAACTGCTGTTGGCTCTTACCTCAGCCACTTTCTAGTTTGTGACACGGAGTATCATTTAATATATCTGACTTAGTCTCCTCATCCTTGAAATGGGGACGGTAAAGGCACCCCCCTCACAAGGCCACCAGGGGGGTCGGGTGGAGGAAATTCTGTGAATTGCACCATCATACAAGAGTGAAAGACGGGTGGGCCAGTGTGCTGGGAGTGGTGGACTCTGAGAGGAGTTTGCTGCACTTGGAAGGGCGGGGGTTGGGGGTGGGGGTGGCTCCAGGGCATCCCTAGAAGTGGCCAGAATGTGTGTGGCCAACAGTGCCCTGGGCTCTGCGGGTTTGGCGGTGGTGTTACTGTGAGTGTGTGATGGGATAATGTGGCCTGTTTCCACATGTCTCCATAATTTCTGGTCTCCCTTGTTTTAGGACAATCTTGGTTCCTTTTTTTCTTTTTTGCCTGAAGTTCCAGGGAAAAACTTTCTGCTGCTAGCACCCTCTCCAGCGCAGATTTTTCGGTTTTTTTCTTTTGGGTGTGGCAAGGATGCTGGGCAACATAAAGAGGAAAACTGGAGTGTGGATTTAGTTACTTTAAACACTTCCATCTCCAGATACCCTGCCTTCCATCTCCAGATACCCTCCAGATCACCAGTGAGGAGTGGCCCTGTCTTTTCTGATTGTCTGGAAGTGGGTGGGAAAGGAAGCTCCCTGTCCCCTAGCTCTAACCTTTCTCCCTCTGGGAGAGAACTAGTCTGGAGTGGGACAGTGTCCCTTCACCTGCGTCTGTGTGTGGATGATCTGTTTTGCATTCTGTTTTCTGGAGCCAGCTGGCCTGGGCTGGTCTCTAGGCCAGGTGGTACTGCAGAACTGGGTAGAGGGGGCCAGCTCCAGCGGGAGCCCTTATCAGGTCTTTGCACTTGGCTTGTTTTAGGGGGTCCTGCTTTCCTCTTTTCTTCTCCCCCTCCCCGCCTCCTGTAAAAAGACAGGGCTTGGGAATCTGGGAAGAAGTTTCATTCAGCAAATATTTATTTATCAACCACATTGTTTGGCACTGGATTGGATTTTGGCTGGAGAGCAAAGCACAGATTGTCCCTACCCTCCATGGTGCTGCCCTGGTTTGGGCAGAGGAGTCAGTCCTGTGAGCAAATAAAGACAGGACAGTGAGCACTAATACCCGAAGGGCTGGGAGCCTCCATTGAAGGGGGGCCACACATTAATTTGGCAGGAAGGTCAGCCCTGGCTTTCTTGAGGCAGTGGGTTGTACAGTCTGGAGGGAGTGTGGGGGAGCCAGGAAGGCCTTTGAGGTCTGCTGATGCCCTCCACCTGGAGGTACAGAAGGGTGGGTAGGTTTGCCCAGAGCACTGGAGCTGGGAATCTGCAGCATGAAATTGACATTGTCCTTTCCCCACGCCCTAGCTCAGCTCAGCAGGTGTCATTGGTGCAGTCTCAGTGCCGAGTGGCTGGTGGATACCAGGGTGGGCCTGTGTAAATTTAAACTCTATGTCCATCTTATAAGAGCTCCCCAGGTCCTGGGAGTGTATGGGGTTTCCTTGTTCACTCAATATTTACTGAGAGCCGATATGTGCAGAGCACTAGGCTGTGACCCAAGGGACATGAAGCAGTATAAAGGGGTCTACAGAGATTCATGGACAGTGATACATACCTACCACATTTTTTACAGTAGCAAAAATTCGGAAATGGCTTAAATGCTCAACAATAACGGCATGGTTTAAATGACTTTTGGTCCTGTCCATGCCATGGAAAGTGATGTTTATAAAGAATGTTTATATTTACTAGAATGCCATGATTATCAAAATATTTTATGATGCTTATGAAGACTGTCTAGGGATGTGAAAAAGTGCTTGAGTGTGATAATTAGGGGAGAAGCAGGGTACAACATGAATCCCAGGGTGGCTGAAGATAGCTACATAAGTGGTTGAGGAATTTTGGATGATGTCAACAGCGATTGTTCAGGAAGGCACAGCTGTGGGGGATGTTTATTTTTTTTTTAAATGTTTATTTTTTTTTTTAAAGATTTTTATTTATTTGACAGAGAAACACAGCGAGAGAGGGGAACACAAGCAAGGGGAGTGGAAGAGGGAGAAGCAGGCTTCCTGCTGAGCAAGGAGCCCGATGCTGGGCTTGATTCCAGGACGCTGGGATTATGACCTGAGCCGAAGGCAGACGCTTAACTGACTGAGCCACCCAGGCGCCCCGTTTGTTTACTTCTTTGCTTGTGCTTTTTTTTCCCTGTTTCCCCAAGTTTTCTGTATGAGTATGTATTAGTTTTTGATCAGAAAAGTTAATAAAGGAAAAAGTGTTCCTTTGGGGCCGGCCTCTCAGCCTTCCACAAAAATACGGGGATGAAAAGAGTCACAGTCAACTCTTGGGACAAGTTCGTTCTAGCCCCTCCCTCCCCGCTGCGTGTCTCTGCCCTCGGCCTGGGGAAGCTGTGCTGTCCTGCCCGTGCCCCTGCGGCTGACTGCCCCTTCCTGCTGCCCAGCTCAGCTTCTCTCTGCGGCTGCCCCTTCCCCAGACCATCCTCGCTGCTTGTGGTGTAGTCTACCTCCAGTCCTCAGAATGGAGACTTGTCAGAGCTGGCGAGGACGCGAAGTGACCCAGCTCAGTTGGTTGAGAACTAATGATATAACTCAGCTCTTTCATTTTAGAAAAGTGAGGCTTTGAGAGGGAAGGGTCTCAAGGCCACTGTGTTTGTAAGGCAGAGCTGGGATTGGTGCCAGGCTCCTGAATTATAAATCAGGTTTCTTCCTGCTCCATCTCTGCTGTCCCAGTCCCCCATCTTCCACCTGCTTCCCTCTTCCCCAGTCACTGCTCTGGCCTCTGCCCTTGACTGTGCCTTGACGCTCAGCACCTGGTGGGACAGTGGGGGGTGGGGGGTGCAGGAAGCAGGAGATGTTTGTTCCTGGTCTCTCCCGCAGAGCTTTTAATGTACACGTATTTAGGTTCTACACCATTATATATTTAATAGGCTTTTGTGGGCTGGCCTGGGGACCTAATTGCCATTTATAATGCTGTTTGGAACCTGGAGTGCACTTTTCCCACAGAAATAAACACATTACAGAGGAAGTTTTAAAACAGAGGTGACACATGAGTTGGAGGAATGAGTTGGTGGCACACACCGAGTGCTAGGGTTTTGGGCCGAGGGGCACCTAGTCACAGAGAAGGGGCCTAGCTCATGCCTCACAACGAGGACTGACTCTGAGCTCTGAGATTGGGAGTGGGGGGGTGTCCTCCCTGTTCTGTCCATTGTGTCCCCAGCACCTAGCCTGGGCCCTGGCACACAGTCGTCCCCAGTCCATGAACCAGTGTTGCAGGCAGAGAAAGGAAACTGTCTGAGACAGAAATACGGGCAGTGAGGAGTTATGGGCCAGGCTGGGTGGAAGGAAAGATTTGAGTCTGGGGACGGCGAATAAGATTGGAAAAGTGGATTGTAAAGAACCTTACATGACTGGCAAAGCTTTGGGGACTTGCTTCTGTAGGTAATGGAGAGACATGATGAGAGCTGCTCTTTTAATAACAAGAGCAGTCAGTCCACGGTGTAGGCTTGGGTTGGAGTGGAAGAGACTGGATTAATTTTCCCAGAACAATACTTTCTTCTCTGTTATCTAGGAGATAAAGTCAAGTGTGATGCTGTGGATAGAATATGGGTTTTTAGCCAGCCTGACACTCAGGAGCTGTGTGACCTTGGGCCCTGCCTCCATTTTCTTGCTTGTTAGTGGTGCTATTGATACCCATTTGCCTCTTTGAAAGCATCCGAGATAATACAGGAAGCACGCAGCACAGTGCTGGCCTGCGGGAGGGCCCAGTAAATGGGAGCCATGGCAATTACCTCAAGTTGAAGGAGAGGTGCCGGGGAAGCCAGTTGGAAGGCAGTAGAGGGCTAGAGGGGGTGTGAGCAGAGGCTTCAGGCTGGGCGTTGGGGGTACTGCTGGGGCTCTCCCCATCACAGTTCCTCTGGGCTCTGGACTCTGTCTCTCCCAGTGGGTCTCTGCAGAGCCTCTGGATGAGGGGGCGGGGGCTGCCGAGGGGCTGAAGATTTAGGTGCTCTGTGTTTCTCTCCCCTTTCTTCTGAAAGTGGATCCTCTCTTGAGAATGTTATTCCACACTGTCTCCCTGGAGGGTTTGCCCCAGCTTTGTGGTTTTGATCTCTGGGGCTCTCATGTCTCATTTGGGGGTGGTGGCAGGTTTTGGAGGCTAAGTGACGGCGGGTCAGAGAGTGATGCATGGGGTGTAGGGAGCCTAAGTTCTCTTATGTTACTAGGACTTCCATGGTTTCTTTGACTCCCACCCTCCCCGTACCTAGCATCTTAGGTCCCAGTGGGAGAAGGGAGGAGCAGTGATGCCCACCCATTGCTGGGTTGCCTGGTGCATCCTGCAGCACTGAATAGAGCCTCTGGCTACCCAGTTGATCTGCTGACGAGAATTACACAACACTCGGCACATTTGTAGAGGGCCTT